TTCCAACCTTAAAGATTCTATGATTCTATTCAGATACTAGATATATTAACATCCATAACAACTTAAGCCACAGCTGCACTAATAGTTAAGTTCAGGCAGCAGAAACAAGTATAACTTTCTTCCATGTGAGGACCCATCAGCAAAGCACCCATTGCTTTGGATATGAGGGGACAGAGCTCCAGCAATAAATGATCTTTGTAAGTGTTTTTAATATAAAATGGACAAACAGTGCCATGAAAACAAAATATTCTTCTTAGAGATCAGTGCGTTTGAAACTGCCAATCTCAAGATTTTGCTTTTCTTGATAAGATCAGTGCTATATTAGAGTGGTTTAGATGTCAACTATTCCAGTAACCTAGCTCTAGTATTTGCAACACTGCAATTCAGTCAAAATATTAGGATACATACTTAGCATTGAACCCAAAAGTTGCTTGGAGAGATCAGAGCAATGTGATGCCTGCTATAATTCTTCCAGAATCCAAACTAATTGTCACAGACACTAATAGGCACAGACATATACTGTTGATATGCCCATACAGCGACAAATCACCCTGTGAGCATGTTAGCACCTTGTTCAGAAGTAGCCAGGGAATCTCTAATACAGGGCTTCATTTCCCAGGGCCAGGGTATCCTTAAGATCTCCTATTCTACCATGCAATTAACAGTCAGTCATACTGATTGAGCATACTGATTTCAGAGGAATCATAGAAAAGTCGAGGTTGGAAGGGACTTTGACAGATCATCTGGTCCAGTCTCTTGTGGGAAAAGGAGCCTAAATGAGATTATCTAGCACACTGTCCAAGTGTATATTGATCAAAAAGAGTTGGAAACATTCATCTTCCCTAACAATATAATCTCTGCTAGGAGAAGAGAGGGAGAAGTTAAATCACAACTACAAGAATAGCCTTACTAATTCAGGGTTCGTCTCACCCAACACTGTCCTGTCTCCAGCACTAGCTGTAAATGCTATAGCTATAAAGACTCTAACAAGGCTACTCCATTTGGTGCTTCCCTCAATAATCTGCCAACATTTGCTACTGAGAACAAATTAATAAGCAATCTGTGAAAATAATATTTGCTTACCTTTCTCACATGTTTTTCCCATAAAACCTGGAGGACAGATGCATTCCCCAGTATCTTCATGACAAATGCCATTGTTCGTGCAGGAAGGGCAGTGGGAGCTACAGGAAGGGCCCCATTTCTGAGCTTCACATCCTTTTACGGAAAAATATGACATATTTGTTGTCTTCTTATTCAGTAACCAATCAAGTAGTAAAATTTTTTTTAATTAAGACAAACAGTAAAATACATTAAAATATGATCCATAGGGACCTGCCAAAACCCCATCCAACTGACCTAATGTAAAGAATCACTTTTTTCACTGTGGAAGTCCTCTATTTCTGGATCAGGATTGCTGCAGAGTACACAGTAATACTACATAACATCTTCAAAGAAGGAACTGGAGAAATCTTCCTTTTTTGAAATTAGAGATAGATTTTTTTAGTCTGTAAGAGTAAGTTCGGAAGTCGACGAAGATGTTGTATTTAAGATTTTTATTCTTGTAGGATCTGAGACCTACAAAAGGTCCAGTCTTCACCTGAAGCTGGCTGTACTGGTAGTAAGCCAGCAGGACCAAGCTTGGTATCACTGGCATTGTGCCCGCATTTGACAAGTCGTGTTTGGGTTTTTTTGTAACAATATTTTTCTTGGAAGTTCATTAGGCCAGATTCACATCTGTTGTTTCTTTACTGTCTTCACTGGGTCTTTATAACAAGGACCAATCAACTGGTGACCTGTTTCTGGAACACCTGACTAAGAGAAATCAGAGTTTTTTTAATGTCTGTCATGATTTTCTTTCCAATATCATAATTTAAAATGATACTGCTACCGTTAATCTTGCCAGCGAGGGTTTTGATACTGTATATATGACTTTTTCATGCAAATGCTTAATCTAACCCTACAAAGATGCAAAATTCTTTGAACTGGTTTTGGAATTGGTGGGAGCTGAGAGACTCAATACTTTTCAGTATTTGTTTTGTAACAATGTTTCTTACATCAGAAAAACTGACCTTCATGCCTTCCTCCAGCGTAAAGCTAGGGCTGAGAAGCTAAGAAACTGGGAAGTCCTGAGGCAGGCTCACTAAATCTGGGTAATCCAGACTTGGGTCCACTTAACCAGATCTCAGCAAGCATTTAATGAATCAACATGGCACTTGGAGCTCGTTCTCTTCTTTCTCCCAGAACGAAATTCCTACGCATGGATACTTAAAAAAAAAACCTGCTAAAAATCATCAGTCTGTCTCTATAACGTTAATTCAAAGAAAGACAGAGCATGTGTGTGAGCAGTGGGCATGTAATCATCCATTCTCTTTACTGTTAGTGTTCTCCCTACCACTCTCCTTGACTGTGCTCCAGGAGTTTTCCCAATAGGCAGGGTGGGCAAGACAAAAGTCTACTTCAAGGCATGGGGAAGAATTTATGGATAATCCTTCTGCTGTGCATCTTGGCACTAGAGTAGAGAACAGATCTTGGAACATTTTATTTAGTAAGGTGGAAATAGCTTCAAAATCCAAATTTGGGGCATTATATTGGAACACTATTCCTGGAAGTATCCTGTGGATGTTAACAAGAAAAATACGTTTTACCTTCAGAAACATTTTGTCCGTAATGTAAGATACTTGAACAGCTATTTATTTTTAAGTATCGGTTTCATATTTCTGTCCAAGTTAATAGACTCATACTTGATAAAAATGGACATAGCAGCATGAGCTACACAGCATGTAGAATATGTAATGGCAAAAGTCCACCTGTATTGTAAACTGGTCCTGTCATGTAATGCTGGTGTAGTTAGTGGAATTACAATAATGTATGCTAAAGATGGTAAATCATAGGATAAATGGGGTTTGAATATAGCCCACCATAGAGAACAGAGACATTTGAAAATTTCTATTTTGTGCTCAGACCCACATCTCATATTCATGGGAGACCCAGTGCCACCTTCTTTGTCCATACTCACTTGGTGTTTGAATAGCTGAGATGCTGAGAAAAGAGCAAGCTGTCCTGGCAATACCTAAGATGAATTGAACATAAATTTGAAATTTTTTTCTCTCAGCTGCTTAAATCAGTATCAGCTTGTACCAAAGATCCCTGGGAAATAAATTTCTTCTGACATAATCTGATTGCAGCTTATGCCAAGAAAGATTTTGGCCCTTATTTGGGCACAGTATAAGTCTCATTTCAGATTCATTGTGACTTTAAAGAATTAATCATCAGCACACATTAATGGAACTTACGTCTTACAATAAGCCTTGTGTAAGCAGAAGTAAAGAGGTTTCCTCCTATATATCTGGCAGAGTAAACCCCTGCATCCTGTGGTTGAACTTGAGGATAGGAGACTTCCAGCTCCCCCGGCACCTCATGCCTGGGCACAGAGTGGATGAAGGAACCTGGGGAAGGAGCACACAGATACAACAAGCAGAAGTGAGTTTGCACTGGTTACTGAGGAAGGACAGTTGGGATGAGCTAAGCAGCAGAATCTATTTAGTAGTTATGAATTTGCTGGCAGCTCTTTAGCTACACTTTAGTTTTTGCTAATTGGAGAGGTGCAAGTAAAAAGGAAGCTAGATCTTGAGGAGATTCAGTAGATGAACGGGACAAACAACTTAGTGTTCAGTGTTGCTTTACAGGAATGTTGGTAGGAGTCTAGTTGTTAAAAGTGTTCATTTTGTTTCTTGGACTTTCCTGAAGTGAGGTGTGATGATCTGTAAGGAGCCTAGTGTGGCTGGAAGGAGTCAAATTGCAAATGCCAACCAGGCCCTATTTAATCTGAGTAGCACAAAGATTTACTTAGCAGACTGAAGCAGGAAGAACACAGCACAGTTTTATCTTTTCTTCCCAGACTTAACATTTTTCTGTCTCTTCTATTTTTTTTTTTCATCAAGGGAGCTTATCTGTGTTATGCTAGGCTTGCTGTAGTTGAACATACATGCTTGCTAAGTAAGGTAATCTTCTCCCATCCCTCTGGATCACCAATTAACAACAGTTGCTATGAAAGAGAAACTGCATCCAGTGGGCTTCAGGGCCCCTGGGAGTCCTTCAATTCCATTTTGTTAGAGCAAGGCTGCTGCAGTTGGCTAATGGCAGGTCCCGCCAGCTATCACCAAAACACACATACACACGCTCATACACACTGTACCGACAAAGCCAGCCACCGACAGACCCACACAGTAGATCTGTGCCATTACAGGTACCGCACATGCACACAGGACTCACATACACACGAACAACCCAGACAGCCCAATCCTATTTCACTTGCCAGCTAGTCAGGTTTGCTGGCAGATCGTGTACTCCGTAGATCTTACACTCACTATATATTCTTACACACCCAAAACTGGGTCTTAGCTGTCCTGGACCTACAGCCTCTCTAATAGCTGGCTCTCAGACCTCTTACCCTACTTGCTGGTTAACATGGCTTGAAGTTCACTAGTGTCACACATGTATGCACACACACACGCATGCAAATGGGTCCCTGACGTAACTGGCCTTAGGCACTTAGTCCCCAGACATACAAACCCCTTTGACCCCTGGCATGTTTTCCAGTTACTAGGAGTCAAACCTGTTGTGCCCTCCAGCCCAGCCTGAAGGTCACTAGCAGATTATACATATGCGTACCAGGTAGAGAGCACACTTATGTTGAAGAGTAATTAAGAATAGAGTTTAGTAAGATTGGAACAACTTTAGTGCAGTGGTTGGCCAGACCAGAGGCACCTTTTACCTGTCTCCTGTCGCATTTTCCCATGCTTCTTCCATTATGTCACACGTGCTCACAGTCCCTCGCGATCATGCCATAAGTTTGCTCTTCTCCCTGAGACCCATGATAATCCTGCTCCCTGCTTCTAATACCTCAAAGCTCTGTCTGAAGCTGCTCACAGCTTTGTGTTGTTCCCTCAGTGACCCTTAGAAGCTGGAGAGCACTGCCCTTTGGTGTTTTCTCTGTCATCTGCTACTCCTTAGGGCTTGTGTGTCTGTTTGTTTACTACTTCTCTTGTTTCTTGTCTTAGTCTTTCATGTTAAATTACCATTAACCAGATTATACTCCCACAAATCAAATGCCTTTACCTTCTACATCCCCTTACAGTTACACTGACAATGTAATAATTTTTTTCACTTTGCTGAAATAATTTAGAAGGTAAACAGCGTCAGGCAGGACCTTTATTGTCTGTGATATTATCATACATGCTATCATACTATCAATTTGACTATAGTCAAATTTCAGGCACCCTACAAATGTAAAACTTTGCTGAGGGTCATAATCAAAATAGCAAAAAGATCTTGGGTCAGTTTAGTCCATGACAACTGACAACACATAACAGTTCTTCAAGAAAACAGGGCCAAAGAAAAAGAGCAAAGAATTAAAGGAATTATTTCTGAAACGGTGGGGCTTTTTTTGCATATCTTTTGAGTTACAAACTGCAAAACAAACTTGGCAGCAACTTATGCTCACAGTCTGTTAGCAAGGTTTGTTTTTGTGGCTTGCTTTCCAAGATGGCACATGTTACGTCAATGTCTTAGAGCAATCTTGTTTAGCAGAACAGTTTAATTCTCTAGAAAGCCTTTGTGAGGGTCTACAAGGGGGCAGGGTACTTTAAATCACTGAAGTGAAAGACTGCAACAGTTAAATGTAAGAGGACAAGTATTTTTACTTCTTTGTCAGCTGCTGTATCAGGAATACTCAGGGATGCTATTTCAGCTGCAATCGCAGATGGAGAACTTGACCTACTGTCCAGAGTCATGGTTAATTTGAGACTCGTTGACAAATTTCCAGTTGGAATCACAGCTAAGGCAGCACCATGATGTAAGCACTCCTGCTCTGATATATCAGCTGGTTCTTGTATGAGAAAATGCTGACAGGAGATCACAAAATTTCCCTGGGGACCCTGAAAGGACAAGTGATGGCAAGCTTTCTGCACCATGCACTGCCATAGCTGAATCCCTGACGACCAAAGAAACAGGTCCTTAAGAAACTCTGCTTTGCATATTGCCTTTTTAAAGGACACCTTTTGGCTATTTCTGTCTTCCAGCCTGTAGAGAAGTGGTCCAAGCATTCAGTAACGGGTTGAGGCTGACCCACCGCATGTGTTCTTTTGCAGCGTGCTGACACTTCCTTACCTTATCCTGCTCTATTTACACCCAGTTTGCTGGTAGCTCACTGTAAGCTAGACTATGAGTAGACAAAGATGGACCAGGACATTATGTGTGCTTTCCACAACTATAATTTATTGGGCTCTAACATTCTGATTAAGTTTGAAGGCACTGTGAGTTTTAGTGTCCGGTATTTTACTACATTTCTACAGGAGGCAGATAGCAAACTGCACATATTTTCAGGTGTCGAGCAGTAGCAACACACAGCTCAAACAGTGAGTTACATGTGATTTAGGTGGCATGTTACATAGAAAAGCTGGTGTCATAAATTTTACAAACTGACTAATTTTTGTAGTTGAATGAAATAAGGATTAGTTTTTGTTGACAGTTTTGCCTTTCTAGTAGCATATTACTAGTGCTTAATTTCTTAGCCTGAAGAGCATCATAGAAGCTAAATGGCCTCTAAAAGCCATTTGAAGGAGGAAAGGTATGCACTTGAAAAGCAGTAGAAATGCAACAAAAGATGCAATAACTAGACCTTTAGAGTGGCAAAGCAAAAAAAAAAGAAAAAAAAAGGGAAATGAGAAAAAAAGCAAAGGTATAAAGAGAGGATTTGGCATTCTGGTGGAAGAGAGAAACACGTCAGCTCTATATATTGGATATGGCAAATGTGTCCTTTAGGGAACACTAATTGCATGAGGAATTACGTCCGCTCCAGTTGCACAGCATGGGCATCATCAGCAATGACTTCAGCACAGTTATGTGGCACTTGGCTAAGGCAATGATAGCAGGAAGAGAAAAGATGAGAGAGAAAGGTTAATTACCATTTTTGTAGATCACTGCATCTTCCTCTTTTGCTGCCATTCTGATGAAGGAAATATTCACATGCTCTCCCTTATTTGCTGTAACAGTTAATGCCACTGGGTGGAATGAGGCTGAAAACAGAACAGGACAGAAGTGTGGGTAAATAGCACCAGCTATTGTCTCCATTTGGTCTCTGGGCTGAAAGCTGAGAATGGCTTACAGCATGACCCTGACACAGAGTTTGACATTTAAATGTCTTCAGAGCACACACTGACTCTTTACCACCAGCAACCTTAACTCTGTATTTTGGCAAAGACAGGGGACTCACCTGTACCCTGAAACACAGACTGCCACTAGAACCTGGGGCATGAAATAAAAAAAGTAAATTGGATTTTGGCTGAGTAACTGGAAACACTTCCTAACTAGGATCTCCATCTGGCTGTAGAACACTTTCCCAAGTTTCTTCATCCCTTGAGACATTTTTAAAGCATACTGGATAAAGTACTGGAAAACGTACTGTAGGGAACAAGCTGTCATTGGCAAACAAATACCCTCAGTGACTCCCTTCTTTTCTGTTTAAGCTTCATGATGCAGAACAGTCAACATAGTTCAAGAAACCACAGTCATGCAGGGTCTGGGGGAGATGTGGTAAGACAGAGTAGGTCTCTGCTTGGGTTAGTTCACCACAATCTCTATAAATACTAAGAGTGTTGGCTTGCACTAAGAAAAAGAAAAAAAACCATATTGACAGACGGTGGTACTTTTACCAAAATATTCTCATCTGAAAATGTGGCTTAATTAAAATAAAAATTTTGTGGCAGGAACTGTCTAGATTGGTGATATTTTTCAATTTTCCATCTGGGAAATTGAAATTAATTTTCCTGTTTAAGCAGAAAAGTACTTTTATACGTTTGTTTCTAGTTCTTGATTTAAGAAAAAGAAGAAAGTAGTAGATTAGATAGAGGGATTTTCACAAAATTTTTGCCTTTTCCTTATCATTACTAGTGGAAAAAAAAAGATCAGAAGATAATTGGGGAAGGGACAGAAAAATCTGAAGAAATAGTATGTTTTTAAACCAGTGTTTTAATTGCAATATTACTTTGAAACAAGTTAGAAGTTAAGGATGTTTCCTTTCATTTATTTGGAAAATTTCAAGGGAAAGCTGTGAAGTTTTTTGAGGACAAATTCAGGTTTTCTGATCATTCTTAGCTCTGAGTTTTTATGCTGTACTGTCATTGATACATCATATGGCAAAAAAAAAAAAATTACTGAAACTGTTCTAAAATTAGGCAAAGTTAATTTCCAAACTATTCAGCTCTTTATATGAGTGAGAATGTTACACCTTTGTACTTTCCTTTTTAGACCACCCAGGGGAATGAGGCATTGGTTTTCACCTGCCCCTTTCTCTTTCTGTTTTTGAGGCTGTTTAGCCTTAGATTTCCTCCTGTGCAAGTTCCTCCTGGGTAACTTTGTCCTGCATGTTGTTTTTGCTCAGCTCCTGGGAGCCCGGTTCTGCTTCCACCTGCCTCCCCAGCAAAGATAGTGGGACCTTTCCGACAGAAAGACCCACCCGAGCCTCAGCTGCGAGGAGTCCTTGAAGAGCCATTCATGCTCCTAGTCGGCTCTGCATTTGCACAGGTTCCATTTGTATTAAAATGACATTTCTTTCACAGGGAAGATTTTGCTTAAGGAGCACATACACAAGTTAGTACAAAATGTGAGACAACTTATTCATAAATAATTGCCATTTATCTATAGTCATGCCTCTTTTTTTTTCAGTTCATTTTCAGAAAACTGTCAATAAAGTATACTTTGGTTCATACCAATCGTTGCACAAAACAAATTTGGAGTCTGTGGCTGAAATTTGATGGCAAAGAAATACACAGAGATAGGATCAGAAAGCAGAGAAAAAATGATGAACCAATTCTCTGTTATGTTATATATGTAATAGAGCTGTAAAAAACAAGCAGGTAGATGCTATATCAAAGTTTGTATGAGGCTGAAACAGTGTTAGTACCTCAATAGTACAATATTATTTTCTAAAATCTGAGGGCAAAAAAAGGGTAGTATTCTTGCAATATTTGAGGAAAGAATGTTTTAATACTTCCATTTCAGAATGACATTTTAATTAAAAATCAAAATGTTTGTGTTATGTGATGTAAAATTAAAGAAAGAACAATTGAGTAAAAATGAAGATATTTCTATAGCCAACCTCTCTCCCAGAATTTTATTTCCTTGAGAATTTGACATTTTAATGTTTTATTTCTGATTGGAAATAAGACAACTATTGAAAACTCACAATTCTTTGCAGAATGGAATTTCCATCTCCTGTGTAGTTCTAGTGTTTGTGCTCTGAACCTCTGCCCCATGTTTTTATTCCTTTGTAAGTGCTATCCAATTGATTTCAGCAAGACTCTTCCTGCATGACACTAAGAACATGCATGGGGATCTATTGTGCATTTGCCATGTTACCTAGGCCCTGGTATCTGAATTTATACCTTAGTGAAACAAGGAATTCTAATATAGAATAATGAAATAAATTCTCATTAAATAGGCAAACAAAAACTGAAAGCAGTCCCAACTTACTGTCAGCTCCCAAGTTAGAAGTTATTTATGAATAACCAACACATGGTGAAAATCATGATCTATTTAGGAAAAGAAAATTCAACAGCTTTCCCCAAAATTAATTGCTAGTTACAAATGATCCTGTTTTAGTTGCAGTGTTTTTTGGACCAAATTTAGTGGGGCATTACTAATTGTTTTAACAAGATATTAAACTTTTGTGTTCACATTTTCTTTTTTTTGTATGTTGTTTAGCTTAGCCACAGGATTTTTTCTTCAGATTATTGTTGCAATGGAAAGGAACCCACACTCCCTGGTGGGCTTGGTTCCAACGTATTTTTAGATTGTGACTTGTATTTCATGATTTCACATCTCAAGTGTGCCAATTCCTTATAGAGACATAATGAACTGACTGGCAGGGCAAGTGCCATAATGCTCTGTTGCTAGCATTTCCATCATTGTCCCTTTGCCTGCTCTAGAGAGTTTCTGTGGGGGAATCTCAATCGTATATATGAAAATTACACATTCATTGTGCAGAGAAATTGCATAAGTTATATTTGACTAGATGCAGAACAGGCTATATAGTGTTCTATTGTAGATATGTGTGCTGTATGTGGTGTAAGCATTACTCCTCATATATACCTAAACCATAATCTGTTCCTTCTCGTTGCATGTATGAATATTACACGTGTAACGATAACACTAAAATATAAAGAATTCAGAGCGGACTTGTTACTTTCAGAATATCACGTGTAGAGTAAAACTGGAAAATGAACCTGTTATCTTGCTGCATTATACAGCAAAAAATCTTTACTGTATCTTTATATCTGATAATAGGTACGTAATCAGGCAGATGACAGTTCCCACTAAAGTCAGTGGGGCTACCCAAATGACTAACGCTTAGTGAAGTGTTTCAGCAGCTTCTTGCCCTGAGGCTGCAAAACAGTGTCTGGATTTTCAGAAGTCCTGTTCCTTCCCATGCCTTTTGTGTCCTTGATGGTAAACTGCACATTTCCACTCCTGCTCAATTTTCGGTGTTGAAAAACACACTCTGCCTTTAAAAATTATTCAGACAACAGTAAAGGGGAAAAAGGTCTGTTTTCCAACTACAGATGCTTTGCCAGACCTCACAGTCCTTCACTGACCTCTTCTTCCTCTTTCTGTGCACTTTAATAGCTTTGAGAATTTCTGTCGTGCCTCTTTCTCACCCATCTAGCCTGATTAGATTATATGTGTTCACTGACGAGTTGCCAACTGAAATTTTGTCAGTGAAAGCTTTGGCAGAGCAAATCTGAGAAATGGATTCAAACCCAGACATGATTCAAAGAAAGCTACCGACCACTGGCATGAATGCTGTGTTATTTCTGGTTAGAACAACTCCTGTCACACAGGAAACACTCAAAGCTTGATTACTTTAAATTCTCTGCTCCTAGGTCCACAGATACCAAGTGCAAAAAACTGATTGATTCAGAAGACACTCTTCCACTCGTGGAGGTTGCTCTACATGACAGCCAGAGATGTGCTTAGCTCACTGGCATTCTGCCACAGGCAGGGTCACATTGACTTTCCATAGACTGTTATCTTATCTCCTCCTCCTCATTGCAGCCTCCTTTGAAACAATGGAGTTGCCAGCCTGCAGCTGCAGAACTTTCTTGGTGACCAGTCCAACCCTTCAAAGACCACATTTGATCAGAGAAAACATAAGCCAAAGAAAAATGCACTTGTCGTGCCCACCTTGCTTCTAAAGTTCCCAAACGAAGAGAAATAAATATACATTAGCTGTAGCTCAGACAAACGAAAAGTCTTTTTTTCTACATTTTCTATATGATTTCAGGAGATATCATCAATGATAATTACTCTTACTAAAACTTTATAAAGAAAGATTGAAAGTGTCAAGTCTCCTCACAGACCAGCTGCCATGACACAAAACACTAGCAATTCAGTGAAGTCTACTAAAAATCGCCTGAAGTTTTGAAAATCTGATTTGCTGCAGAAAGTTAGCCAAAATTTCTTACACTTTTCTCGAATTTCTAGTGATTTCTGGTTTTGATCTTGTCCCAGAGGTCTAATGACGTCCAGAGACAAGCGAAATTTTGCACATAACAAAATGTAATTTAATGGCTAGAGTGCTGGACCTTGGAAATCCCACCTTCTCATCCCATTGTCTCCCTGTCATATTTGCTTTTTATACTGTGCATAGCCTCAAAACCAAAACCAAGTCAGCAGTTAAATCCACAGTGGATTTTTGTGAATAACTCTCTAAGAGTTGCAAAACTTCTCTGTAGTTTCTTTCTGGTGTTGACCTGGATTTTTTTTTTCATATTGACACAAACAGTGCAGATCTGATGTTGCTAATCTGTAATTTTACTGAACCTTAGGCCAGGCAGTTATTTTCTAGGCTCAGGTTGCCCATTTATAAAAAAAAAAAAAAAAAAAAAAAAAGATAGCAATGTTTAGCTATCTACATCTCAGACCTGTCAACACTTTAAAATGGAAGCATGTCTAGAAAGAAAGGGTTTGGGATGTGAAAAACCCAGTGAAGGAGTTACCGTATGTGTTCTTTCATGGGGTCAGCAAGGGTAGTACTTACCTTTGCCACCAGACTTTGTGTTCCTGGCAGTAGCCAGATACAGGCAGAATACCTACAGATGTCTGACTAACTTCCATGAGGAAATGACTAGCAGCCAGTATCAACCAGTTGTCTCTGAACTTTAGAAAAAAACCACGGGCTTGAGCCAAGTCTATTTTTGTTGACTCCAGACTGCCTTGCCTGCTCTGGAGCCACGTTTGTGCCCACTTGTGTCAACCAGGAATAACTGCCAGTCTGCAAGCAGTGGCATGCAAAATTCAGATCTGACCACCATACAGTACCTCCCAGCGGCATCTTCATGGTATGTATCCTTGTCACCTCATCCTTGAGTTTCCCTTCACAGTAATATGCTCCAATAGTCTCACTGGCCTGTTCCCTCTTCCACACCACTGTTTTGGCTGTTGCTCTCTTTGAGTCTTCATTAACTTCCAGTGGTTCCCTGTGCTGGTTTGTCACATCCTCCTGGTCTCGGTCTATTGTGATAGACTCACGGGAACGCCATTTGGAAGTGATACAGATAAGTGATGTCTCAGAGTTGCCCACCAGAGGGAATGAATTGATCAGGATGAGGTCCAGAGCCGCTTCCACTTTACCTAAGTAAAAAAGCAGCAAGTGAAAAAATTTTACTGCAGAGTTTGTGTATGTGGCAAATCAAATCACCAGATAAGCCGTTTCACCCAGTACTCGGGGTTTCTCTGGCTGGTGTCTTGCATAACTTTTGTGCAAACTAGGAAGACTGTAGATTAACTACTCTGCCACACTGAGTTTAGGATTTACTTTTTATGTCACAGATGGAGTTTGTTCTTCTCAGAAGAGGAAGTAAGCCTTGCAAACTTGTGGAATTTCTTTTAAAGGCTGTTGCAGAAGCCCAAGGAAAAACATGGGTTGCAGAAGGAGATAGAACCTTGGATAGTTAGACATGTACACAAATGCGTCAAGTATGGTGCTTTGCTGGTAACAGGGTTAGTAGATCGTAAGGCTGTCAGTTTAATAATATTTCTTTTATGTCCTTTACATGGATTTAATATATATGAATTGATATAAAGCAGATATGTCTTTCCTTTATAGACACTGGTAGTAATTTGAACGCTTGGGGTATTTTTTTCATTGTTTTATGTACCTGAATTAATGATTTCATAATCATTCACAGGTTTACCCTTTGAAGCCCCAACAGACAGCAGCACAAACCACGTCACAAAGAAACTTTCTCAGAAACTAAGAACAAGTTGGCGACACTAGAAAAGCTATTTTTTTGTGAGGTTAGGTTTCAATCAATCGAAATGGCTCCCTTTGATCAACAGAATTGCCAGGAATACATGAGATGGGAATTCTTTGAAAATGATAGACACAAGCCTGATTAAACCAGTCTCTGGCAGAGTGCTACAGATTGAGTTGTTCAAATGCGCATAGCAGGAGGAAAATATAGCTCTCCTACAATCAACAATTTGCAAATAACAGGCGTTTCCCTTTACTTTTAAAATTCAGGGTAAGGAGAAGGGAAACAGTAACATTTTTTCCAGCTGAAACAGGAAGAATAATTGATTTTTTTTATTCATCACATCTATTTTCCTGCTTTGGATACGAGTATATTTTGTGGAGACCCAATATTTAGAGCCACTCAGCTTCCAAATATTTCTCTGATTGGAAGGAAGAGGCATAGTCTTAGATAAGGGAGGTCAAAAAGCCTTAGTGCTGACTGCAGTCTTTGCGTGTGTCTCTGTCGTGCTCGCGGCCAAGGGAGGAGGTCCTCCTCTGCTCTCAATGCCAGCAACCACCCTGGGGACTGAAGTATCTTGACAGGACACTGACACTCACCACACCCAGCCAGGCTGCCACAGCTACCACCCTTCAACGTGCCAGCCCAGATAACCTGTAGTTACATAATGGAGAAATGAAACTTCTGGAAAGGATGCAACAGCTGCTAAAGTAAATATTGCATAGAGGTGCGGGTCAGCGAAGTCAATTCACCCTGCTGCACGTTACAAAAGTAAATCCTTTGGGCAAAGTTGAGGAAGTATGTGATAGGAATGAGGCCAGACTTGTGCACTCATCTCAACATTGTTACTTTTGTATCGGGAACATTTTGCTCTTACTATGGGTCTGATGCATCAGCTGAAGGCAGATGTAATTCAGCAGTCACCAACATTGAGAGCAGAGGCCTTCAGTTTATATCAGCAAGGATCACATGCCAGGTGGAGTTATTCTTAAAATCATAAATCGCAAGATCCTAATTTCTGCAAACTTTTGTGAAACTCAGAACCAAATTTGGATCCAAACTCCATGACTTGATGTGATTATCTGTTCTGCAGATCAGAACTGAAATATTTTGATGTTTCTGCCCAGAATCCACAGGGCACAGAGCTATAACTCTCTTTCCAGTATGGAGATATGGGCCCAAGTTGCTGGGGTCCTTCAGAGGGTGGCTGCTCATCCAGGTGTCCAGTTCCATTTCTCTGTTCCTCTGATTTCCCACACAGATTGAAAGGTGAAAACAACACCTTTTTCCCCTTCTCTGCATCTCAACCTTTTAATAGACTAAGAAAAAACAGTAGGAGAAGCCTGAGTTTTGAGGACTAGCTTTCATGTTGCTTTAGATCCCTATGCAGGGCATAGCAAAGCAATATCATATGAGATTCAGGGCATTTGCTGCATACTTTCTTGTTTCATTGTAGTAGTACAAATCATGTAATCAAGGTGTAGAAAAACCATAGCTCAGGTCTATTGCTTATTTACACTTGTCATTATTCCAGATGAATCAAAATCTAGCCACTGATGGATGGATTGTCTAAATATAGATCATAACTGTATTTTGTCATAAGGCAGACACCTGCATGAAGCAGACGGGGCACAGACGGAGTTACATGTCTTCCTCCAAAAATGCTACAAGGCCTTTCTGTGTCTAAAAGGGAGAAACATCCATGCATAAGTATTGAATCATATGCCAAGCATGATCTGGCAGCTAAGGTTTCACAGCTGGAATATATTGCAAGCAGAAATTAAAATGTAGCCAAGTGAAAGTTTTGCAAGAAGAAAAGTTATGCTTTAGGTGCATTTGGAAAAAAAATAAGCACCCTAGCAGCACACTGACTTGAAGGCAACTCACTCGTTCAACTCAGAATCTAGCAGGATTGGCATTTTAAAGTCAGCCTAAGACCTCCAAGGTGATAGGAAGGCTTTCTTGGACCCCACCGTGAGTTGCTGCCCTCAGACTGTGGGGGGGAAAAAAAAAAAGCACCAGAAAAGTGTAAAATGCACATATGCTTTATGCTTAGGGATTCCTACAGCATCTATTTCTGGTAATGCAACTTAAAGTAACCCAACTGTCCTTGCTATAAGGAATTTACCTCGTCTGGCAAAACTTAGGCAAATCCTAGTTGATTAACCCTTGATGTTAATGAAGATTTCAGGTATGTAAGGACCAAATAAGGACAACAGGATTTAGCTCTCTGAGAAAAGCACAACAAATTCAGACAGGAAACAGCCTGTCTCTGTATCAGTGACAATCCTCTGTGCTTCCTTGAAAATGTCCTTTGACTCCTGCCCTGGTCCACGAAGAACTGACCTTATCAGGAAGGTAATTTGCTGTGTGTGCAAACAGATTTTGAGAACAGAGAGCACTTGCAGAAGGCTAATGCTGGAAGTGGGAGATACCATGCAGGGAGGATTTATTGTCCAGTGTTTGTGACACACAGTCATTGTGGTGCAGTGCTTTGAGCCCTTCCAGCACAGAGAAAACAGCATCCACTAAAGCAGTAAGTTTAAATAGCAGCACACCCACTATAACCCAGATGGCAAAGTGAATGCAAGGAGACCTTTGCAGTTCCTCTTGGCCCACTCTTAACCACAGGACTGTGGGCTCTCTTGCTGGGTGATATCCAGCCACATCTTTCACAGCTTCTCTAGTACATATTCGCCTGGAGGAATGGTGCTGAACAGAGAATAAGTGTGTACCACGCTGTCTCTGCAGCCCCTGCGTGTTCGCATTCCCTACCGAGCCGCCATGCATACGGGCACAGAGTCATCACGCCTGCCGGGCTGTGCTGCACCGGCAAAACTTAGCCAGCACCAGCTGGAAGAAACAGCTCTCAGAAATTCCCTGGAACACATCCCAGACACAGGTCTGCTCAAAGAGCAAGAAAGTCTCTGATAACACTTAAAACATCATTTCCCTAGATTGGATTTGGTGTTAGACACAAGTTTGGGAATAAAGCAATGCATCAATCTTGAGCTGAGGTAGTTTAATGCCATAGATGAGTACACAGAGCAAGCCTTATGAGAACAGAAGAGTGTTATGATTTTTCCTTTTGTCTCAGAAAGTTCCTTTCTGTAAAACTTCCAGATTTACACTGTTAACACTTGTCTGGTCCCTAGGAAAACATGAAAATATTAAAGACAATTTCTACCTAACATGAGGCCTTTGCAAAGCTTCCTGTTAATTGTAAAAGTGTTCAACATTGAGGATTGGCTAACGTTCCTCGACCATAGCGAGCCGCCAGCGTGGTCAGCTCCATCAGGGTAAAGGATAACCATACCCACTGCTCCCCAAACACGCATTTAATCACTAGTCCATATTTGCAAGGTGTACTGAGAATGCAAAGTCCTGAGTAAATGTTTTAGCTATTAATTAATACTGAGTAGTAGTGGAAGGAAAGAAATTATTTAGACATTACAAATCTAGTGGGGTATGTATTTTCCTTGGACTTGTAGAACTTTATTATTAATTGCTTGAGTGACTATGAGTTGGAATTCCTTCCTTTGGCATTTGGAGTATCGCAGAGGAAGAAGAAGAGCTGTGGTAAGAGGTAATTGGAAAGAATAATATTTTTAAAGTACTAGTCATTTAAGAGAAGAGGGGATGGCAGAAAATTCCAGGAAATTCCACCTCAGGTGGAAATTTTTTCCTCAGGTGAAGCAAAGGGAATAAAACGTGATGTAATTTGAAATGCTTAGGGAGTTCTTATTTCTTTTACTGTTATTGCTTGGAAGACAAATTATTTCTGCTACTAACTCTCTGGGAATATGAATGTAAAGCATATAGATACTACACTAGCAGAGGAAAAATAGAATCTGTGCTTAGTGTAGGCTTGGTGTTATGCTGAGAGTGAAAGAGCCAGCTGCATATAACACTCACTGCAGGATGTAAGCATAATTTTGAGACTGATGGAAACCTGTGTTCCAGACTGTCAAGTCATCAACCCCTCCTCCTTCAAGTCTCTTAAAAAACAACACTAAGCACTCCCTCTGCTTGCAGGAAAAAGTTTTTGATTCAGAACAAACCTAACTTGCTAAATAGCCTGCACCTCAGTATTTCTCATTGTGTCTTGTAGTTACAAGCTTAGCTGTACCCTCCTCGATTGCATTTTTCTGTATAAAATCACTGACCAGATTAAAAGAATTTAACTAATCTGTTTAGGAATACAAATGGCAATCATGTAAACAATTTTGCTGAAAAAGTATAGCATTTGATTGATTCTTAGTGAAGTACTGAGTAAATTATATTGATTCTTTTTTTAATAAACCCATTAGCCAATTTGGAAGATAATCAGGATGGAAATAATGCAAGTGAAATATGACTAAGTTAGCAAAATAGAGACCCAATCTTCCTGTCTCCTCTCCCTTAAAAAAAGAGAGAAAAAGGAGAAAAAATAGAGTACTCCTTAGTTAATATTAAAACTAGCCAGAAAGTAACCCAAAACATTAGCTGTTTGGGTATTCATATGGAGAGTGGAACATACACCACACATGGCAATCTTTATTTCCTCTTTTTTTGTGCATTCAATGTTTCTCTTATCAATCTTGGTTATTTTTTGTTCATTCCCTAAAAAAGTAAATACAAGGCGAGGCGGGACTTCAAAATCACATATTCATTTTGTGAGCTCAGTAGTCTTTTAGTATCCTGGAAATTTCTTCTGGGATGCAAAGACAGCAGCAACTCAGGTAATTTCTCCCAGTGCGTCGCGTTCCCCTCTGACAGCTCAGTCCTCCACAGGAAGACAAGGTGGAAGTTATTATTACCCAAACAGATTAAGATTCTTTGCCACACAGAAGCAGCAGCAAGGCAAAAAAAAGAGATAGATGGAAATGTTGCTGAAAAACAGCTCATAAATGAGCAAAAAGTCAGGTTTTCCAGTAAAACCTTTCTTATTGTCCAAGGAAAGGATCTTACTGCTTGTATCTTATGTGATGATATGGGGCGGCTGTGGGACGGCTCACAGCTCAATACTGAGAACTCTTACCCTTAGAAGTAGGGCATCATTTGTGGAGGGAAGGTATTATGAAGCTAATAAGAGACAAAAAATTAGTGGCAGAACATCATCACTTTGCGACTTAGTAGTAGTGGGAAGACCAGAGCACAAATGTGAAAATTAACATAGTCTGTCAAAGCTACTGGGGCTGACGGGCTCTTACAGGCCCTTGGGTACATCTGGAGCAGCTGAAGGAAATGCAACAGCCTTTTTATAAAATAGAGTGAAATTGTTTTCTCTACATTTCAGTTCTTCCACAACTGAATCACAGCAATCTTTTAAGGCGAAAAACTAGAAAAGAAACACTGGTGCATCTTGGTTGGGGGTTTCCCAGTGAGGGTACATAAATGTGTGTTTGTAAGTAACGAAAATGTGGAAAGATGCTTTGCCATGACTTCTCCTTAGGCCTGGTTGACCATAAGCAAATAAAGTGGGAAACAACACATCAGAAGAAGTTGCTTGTTGAACAGCCAGCTGACAGTGTGCTAGGTAATGCTGAAAAAGGATGAGGAATGTGGGAAAGCTTGAGTAGGACAGGCTTGTAGTTAGGCTACATCTGGCTGGATTTGCAGCTAGCCAAATACGGGTACTGCTGTCAAGAAAGAACTTGCAAGCAAGAATAAGTATGTCCATAACGGGAGTGGTCCTTGTAAGCTGCATCATGAAGCTACTATGTATACTGCATACCACAGAATCGCAGAATATTTAAGGTTGGAAAAGACCTTTAAGATCATCAAATCATGTATAACGTATGTTGTTTGTGCGCACGTGCCACGCTGAAGTACACAAAATAACACAGGTAATCAATTCGCCTTCATAGGATACAGCAGCGCATACACGTGCATGAACTGTCTGGAGGTGTCTGTGGGTGCTGGCTGCTGGACAGGCACACTCTAATATGTTCCTGCCTGTGCAGTACTGTGCCCTCACCTTGCCACTTACTGATTTTTCTGAGTTATTGGGAGATGTTTCTGCTTCTAAGCACGCTTTGTAACTAATGAGGCTAAGGTCTCTGACCAGTGGCAGGTCTGGGATGAACAGCCAGAAAATAATACAAGAGAAAATCATCAGCACGATCAGGAGTGCAGATGGAACTGCACTGTTGAGAGAGGCTTGTTACACTCCAAAGGGGAAATTAACCAAGTCACTTCATCAGACAGCCTGACACAAAGCAAAAAGTAAATAAATACCAGGCAAGCAAAATACTGATCCTGAAGCAAAAAGTTTACATATATTACCTTTGCATACAGAAATGTAATTTGTAAACCTGTCTTTCAAAAAGTCGTTTCAGAACTTAGTGAATGCCTAAAATCTTCACACCTTAAAAGTGCTTGCATTTCCTAGTGATTAATTACAAAAATAATTTTGATGGAGTTCTTTACTTCTTTATGATATGACCTTTGTTTTTAATTATTAGTGCATGTTCTTACTTTGGGTGTTTGTTGGAGAACAGTTATCAAATCTGTACCCTAAAAAACAATCAGTATTTTACACTCCTTACAGGAACGTCTCCAGTTAAGACACAGGCTGATTCTTTGCTACGTGTCTCCACTGAAACCGCAGTTTCTTGCCACTAGCACAGGGTAGATACTGTCTTTGGAGGACAGTTCTTCATTGCAATTTCTCTAAGATTTTCATCCCTCCAGTCCCAGATAGATCTTGTGTCCCACCGGGAGCTGACCACGGAACTATGCATCTATCTCACACAAGTGGCAGGTACATCCATTTTTCGTTCATTCCTTCTGTGCCGACCCAACACCCTCCACACCACAAGGACTTCTTGGTCTTCCATGGAAAACTGAACAGTGGTTTTGTGTATTTAAAAGACAGGTCTGGGCCAAGCAGGCTCAAATCTAGGAGACCAATACAGAGCAGGTTTCCAACTCGGGTAATTCTCGCTGTGGGCACATGAAGCACCAATGCCACATCTCCCCTTGCCCTAAAGCCAGCTGCTCAGCTGCAGTCAGTCGCTCTGACTTCTGTGCTCCCTCTTGTCCACCTAAAGCCTTCCAGATGAAATTCTTGTCAGACCACCTCTGCAAAATGTTACAACATTGTTTTTTTTCCTGAAATGAAGTTTCATTTTATTCAAATTTCACATTCAAAATACATTCAAAATGTAATCCATCCAACCAGCTTAATTATGACTAAATACCCAAACAATCTAATATACATATACATATACATATACATATACATATACGTATACGTATACGTATACGTATACGTATGCATATGCATATGCATATGCATATACATGTACATATACAAATACATACACATACACATACACATGCACATGCACATACACATACACATATACATGAAATCTGTATTTAAAACAATAGCATATGTTAACAATTGTGAATGTAGTGTGATTTCATTTCACCCTTTTAGATTTGATTCCTCTGGGTCTGATGCAATGCCTTTTCATTCCTGACTATTCCCAGCTGCTGAAATGGCCTTAGGGAACACAGGCTTCCTGGGAGCCACTCTACCTCTCACGAGGTCTGAACCAGGCACACACCAAAAGCAAACTCTAATGCTAAAAAATAAAAGAACTGGAGATAATCAGCCCATTTTTGTAATTCCACTTTGGGTAGGTGGACACAGCTGCCTGCACAGGCTGAAGCTGTTGTTTTTGGCTTCCAGCTGCAGAGTCAGGGAGCAATGAATTAAGTCACAGCTGGAACTTTTTTCTTTGCAAACATATAGCCAGCAATGTAACTAAATCAGTACAGCTCTCTTTCTCCCATAAAACAGATCCATCAATTTTGTAGTCATGATCATCCTAACGGACTGTGCAGAAATACTAGCATTCGTCAGGCTGGAGATGCAACAAATGATTCCTGTGGCAGGCCTGTCATTTCTGGATTAGATGAAGGCTACGTCTAAAGAAGAGTCTAAATTCCATGTAAATGTCAGACTCATGAAAAAGGCACCAGGATAGTGTTCCCTCTGGGTGAATAACCTAAGTGTGGTGGGCAGATGCAATTGTTGGGTCTCACAAATCACATACGCTTCAGGAACAAAGAATGACATCCCTTTTAAAATTTCTCTTGCGATTCACATTAGCAGTTTGGTAATTTAGGTGTCTGAAAGGCTGTGTGTCAGTCTAATGTCTAGTCAGCATAGTTTTGAAATGCCTGAGATTAAAAGCTCAAAGGTGGGTTGTGTCCACTGCTTTGGCTGTGGGATGCTCAAAACCCCAGCACTGCTGCTATAGGACAAGCTGAAGTTCAGGTGCCATTTCGGTCTGACAACAA